AGTAAAAGTAAAGTTAAAAGTAAAAAAAACTAAACCTAAGAAATTTACGTTATACCTAACAAGAAGAAAACAACTAATATATATATATATATATATATATATATATATATATATATACACCACTCAGTTCTGAATTGCATTAAGAACCTCAGACAATGGGAAATACATACCTAAAACTAGCCATTTGTTTAGAAAGTTAAAAAATTAGCTTCAGCAATCTAATTCAACAAAAGTAGCATTTAGTTCCCAAAGTTACAAAATTATGCTATACTAAACTACACAATCTACAAACTTTGGCTCGATGTTCAATGTTGGCTTTTCTGTCCAGCAACAGACTAACTACTTCATGACGCCCTTGGAAACAAGCTAGGGTTAGCGCAGTATTTCGATTGGTTTCAATCTGAGCATTGATATCACTTCCATTATCCAGGAGCAACCTCACTGCTGCTGTGTGTCCATTCATTGCTGCCAACATCAGAGGAGAGATCCCTAATTTGCTACCTGTTCTAAAAAAACACAGGAAAATTCCTATTGACAAATTTCTAATATACAACTATTATAAGAAAATATTTATGCAAAAAATAATAAATTTAACAACAATGAAAAATAAAAACAAAAGATAAAAATAAAGATTCACTAATATACATTTGTTATGCAATGGCATACATATTTCATCCTTTCCATTAAAAATATTTTTTAACTTCACAAAGGTTAAACAATACTTTAAAATAAGTAAAGAAACCCTAGCTATCTTTCATATTTCAAATAAATTTACCTTCTCTTTGCCTTATAGGTGCAAAGAACTTGCCTCTAACAATGCTATCTTAAAGATATTATTAATAATTTGATCAAAGAACAAGAAAAATCGGCAAACAAACAAATATAAATAAAAGTAATAATTTTGGTAAACATTTCATTAAAAAGGTTTTTTGCATTAAATAAGGCTAAATCAGTGAAGTGAAACTCAACAGAACAAATCCATAAGCCAATCATAAAAAATAATCTCTTAACACTCTCGCTACGGGTCTACATATGGTCAGCGGTCAAAGGGTATGTCATCACATTTGTAGACTTGCATTCACCTTACATAGACATATTTCTGTCCGTGACATGTGAATAACTAATTGACAGTTCAGAATGTCCCCCTGGTGGTTTTCTCAGTCTCTAGAAGGTGGGAAGTTCCTTAGATTATTTCTTTGTCTTGAATCATAGAAGGAAGTGGTAAGTGAAAATTATGTCCAAAAAACAATATTTTTTTACTCAACTACAGTTTAGTTAGTAAGCCTGATAAATTACAGTGAATTCTGCAATATTGATAAAAACCAGTATTTTGTAAAATACAGTCACGTTTTTGTTATAATACACTAAATATGTAGATATGTTATTGCTATTTACAAATAAGTTCTTAAATTTCAGTTATTTTTCTTAAAACAAGAATGCTGAGCATCAAATATGAACCAGTATTACAAATAGGCTTCTGTGTAGACTGCTGCTGCTCCTACCAACATCTGGTAAAAAAAACTCCCAGGGTCCCACCATCCCAGTGACTGGAAACTGGGTGTGGTAAGGATTCTCTAGCTCCACTAGTAGAATATGGGAGGAGGGGTGGGGTGGGGTGGGGGGGTGGGGGGGTAATGCAATTTGGGAGTCCTGAGGAACAATGTTTTTGAAACAGTGCAATAGGTGAATCAAGTTCCATAACTTTTTAAAAGCAAACCCACCCAGATTTGTTCAATCTAATGATCAGCAGGGACGAGCAGGATCCCCTTATGCTTTACGAGAAAAAGCTTGTACGGTTTGGCAGAACACATATGGTGCCTATGCTAGTCCAAAGGGTAAAGCCCTGAACTGCAGCACCTGACCCTTGTGCACAAAATGCATAGAGGCAGGACAACTTCACTACAGAAATATGTAGTTAAGCATCGGCAACATCGAACTTAGTCAACCACAGTTCTGGTAAAAAATGCCAATGCAGAACGAGGAATGACTCCATCATAAACTTTGGAGGATCTAGGAATTGATTTAAATGAGAAAGATTGATGACCAGTCACCAATCTCCTGTCTTCCTGGGTACAACAAACAGATGGTAATAAAACCCTGGAAAAACTGGGTCGACTCTCTCCACTATCCTCTTGACCAACAAATCTGATAGCCCTGAAAAACAGTTCTGAAATCTGAGGACTTGGGGAAGGCAGAAACACTATAGGATGTGAGGATAATGGTGGTGATGTGTATTGAATGATTAATCCTGATGCAAGGACCTGTAGTACCCATGGATCCTTGGTAAAGGTTTTCCACACCTGCAGAAAATCTCCGGGCCAAGCCCCATCAGACTCTAAAGGCATACAGTAGTTATTGCAGCTGCTGACAGCATTCCAATTGAGCAGAGAAACCTAGTGAATATAGGTAGAATTTATTCTGGGTACCTATGGACTGAGGGGGCTGATGTCGGGGATCAGGACACTAGAATATAGGCAGAACTATGACCCCTGTAGGATCGATAAGCCAACAACAAGAGGGATGAATGCAGGTGGGCAACATCAACCCTTGATTCGAAAGCCTCTGACAAAAGGCTGAAAGGCTTCTGACAAAAGTTGGAGGGATGATAAATATCTCATAACCATAGTTAGGGTCAGATGAATCCTAGAAAATTGTGATCTATTCAGATTGACCACAGACTCCAGAAGGGGTTTTATTCTTTGAGAGACTAAATACCTGTCCACCTGGTGGTGATAGGCTATAGCATGTTGTTCTGATAAATGTGATGGACAAGGGCATGGCTGTCCCTTCACATAACCGAGCTGTAAACCTGCCTGTACGAACTGCAATATCAGAGGATGGAGTGAGAACTAAGTGTTCACCCTCAGACCTTTCCCCCATCAAGAAAGGTGCAGACTCAAAAGCAACCAGGGAAAAGACCCAAAACATCACACACTCAATTAACCAACTCAAGAAAAGGAGCCAGACACAGCTGATCCAAAGTTGACTCACGAGAAGCTGACACAGTAAAGAAAGGCACTAGAAAAAGCAAATTAAATTCTCTCCAGAATGTCCAGGATTACCTGCAAGTGCAGCCTTAGAGCCCTTAGAAAAACACGACTGGTCCGAATGTATGTCTCCATCTCACTACAAATAAGATCACAGACAGCTTCAACTAAGACCTGATTTGCCTCTGTACTGGAAATAGTAATCCTGGAATTCATGCTGTATATCGGCTTACCAAACAATTTTCTATTTTTATGAAAATCAACTAGGTAACATGAAGAAAGCACAAAGTCTTACCAATAGGTGTAGTACAAAGAAACCTATTAGTGAATGCTTTGTCAAGAAAAAGTGATAATATTATCCGAATAACGTGCTTTTATACAGTACCAGGATAGAAGGAGCATTGGCATAGGTGGAGAGTGTCATCAGACAGATACTGCCAAGGGCAATTAAGTGAGGAATAAACAACTGGAGCAAGTGAGAAAAAAATCTGACAAATGCTTAGATGGGCAAAGGAAAGAAATCCTAGCAGTCGAGTAATAAGTATGTTTTGGAATAAAAGTTATAGTATGAAAACTATAACAAGCACAAGATGGTTACAAGGTTGGTCCCGGGGACCAAGCCCTTAAGAGAGAGAGAGTTAATCAATTAGTATCACAACTCAAGAAAATTATCACTTTATCAAAGTTAGTGTTTCCAATCATTACTATTTTTTTTATTATTTCAACTATCCTAGTTTCATGTGAGAATTATATGTTAGTTGAATGTAATCTATTAACGATGCTGCTGATTGATCATTTATAAAATTCCACTAATCATCCAACTCCAACAACTTGCACAGTCAGTAATGAAAACGTATATTGCTGTTTAAATCTTGAAATCTTTAGCAGATCCACTAAAATTTATTTCAGACAAAATTTTGCTACTATCCAAAACAAATGAATAATGAAAGAATGAAGTTGTCCCATAAAGTGTCTGATTATTTGATTTTTTGGTTAATCTGACATCTGAGAATACATGGCGTTTCCTGTACATGTTGATAATCACTATCTGCAAACAGAGATTTCTTAAAATATATTGTTATTTATCATTTTGTTTAAAATTTAAAACAACAGACAAACAATGAATTTCATTATCATAATTTTTGCACTAGTTTACTAAAGAAGTTCAAAACTTTTAAGTAAGAGTTGATATATTTTATAAACTGCTTTCATCAGTAGTTCAATCTAAAGCTTTGTGACTGAAGAAATTTATCATTGTCAGAGTAAAAAATACAAGGTTTCAATTTACACTGAAAACAAAAAAGAAATCATTTCGGTCTAATCATATAATATTGAAGTTTGATTTAGAATAAAACACAAGTTAATGTAAAAAACCTTACCTGACAGCCAGCAGCTTCCAGCATTTGTGCATATGTTACAGTTTTTTCTATCTCAGGAAACACTCTAATTTTGCAAGTGATAGGTATTTCCAATTCTTTATAGACCTTATTAACTGGAAGACAATTACAAAAAATACAAATACGTGTATCAGAGCACACACAGTAGCAATAACACTGGAATTAATTATCTTTCTTACGTTTTTTTTTCAACCAGGATTTGAGACAAATAGAGGTTAAGTATGTTATTTTTAAAATGATTTTGGAGCCTCAACACATCATTACAGTCACTATCTGACAACCATACATCTTGACACTAGATCAACCATATAACTTCCGTTTCAAAAGGCGCTATTACAAAGCTGCCATGTCTAAGGAACTTGACTCCTCCCTGCTTGCTTTCTATAATCCATATAGTGTATAAGAATGATGTCTTCCCCAGTGCCCATTTCAACAGCCATATTGCACAGCAACCAATGAGTGCTGCGTCCAGCAACTTAACTGGTACATCTTTGTATGGAATAGCATGACTATACCCATTTTATTTTCAAACTGTTTGAGGCTTGTGACAGTTCAATGGATATATCATGGTAGCAACTTGATTACATTAGACTGGTGTTGCTTTTCCAGATAGAAATCTTTCTTGATCATGTTGTATGGAAAGGGTGGTGGCTTTGGCCACTGAACTTTGTGTTAACGGATTCTCATTTGTACAAGTTACCACACCTTGCTTACCAAGATGGGTACAACTTGTTGCAGGTCTCTTTCTGGATGGTCCTAGTTTTCCAAGTTGATCCATATTCTTTTGTTTTCTAATGTCATTATGTACAAGGGATATCCCCACCATGGAAATTCTAAATCCCTAACTTGCATGAACACTCTTTATGATCTCAGTGGATGAATATCTTGCAAAAGTGAAATTTTTGGTAGCATCACACTACCTACGAAATGTAACTCTGATTCCTTCCATTCCACCACAAAAGTATACAAGTTGCAGTTGTCATGTGACTCACTCAATTGCAAGTTCCAAATCATTATAATATACAGTGTACTCAACCTCTATATAACAGCACATATTTAACAGACATACCTTAATAAGAATCACAACACAAATTTTTAGAAGTTAATCTACTCCAGCAAACATTTTAAACTTAACATATAAAGAACTTAAATGAAAAAAGAATAAAGATTTTTAATACATTTCAAAGCATTTAAAAACCATTATCACAATACATATATACATGTATGGATTCTAATGTGTGCTAGCATATAATTAAGAAATTACACTGCATAAAAATAAGTATTTGCTTAAGTTCTTGTAGAAGTTCATAAAAACTTGAAACACAGAAGTGATAAGATATATGAAGTGCCAGATTAAAAACAGCCAGTTTAAATCTATGTTAAGGTTTATAAATATTTCTAAAATATACTGTAAATGTACCCATAGAATGAAGTAAATCCCATTCTTCTTGAAGAAATGCTCCATAATGCCCTCGTTTAGCAATTGATTGTGGGCAACCAAGGTTCAAATCAACAGCTTCAAAAAATCCTTGAGAGAGCCGAGCAGCCTCCACAAGTGTCTCAACATCATTGGCACAAAACTATACAAAAATTCACACATTAAGTACTTCTATAAGCATATCACAATTGCACTTACAATAAATTACAACAGCACACATACATGAATGAATTTTGCTGGTGTAGATATCAACTTGTACTTTTTTTTTTAAGCCAAATATATCAGTTTATTGCTACTCTTGTAAAATGTATACTTACCCTAAAAGTTGTGTGTAGTTAGTTTTGGCTGGAGTATTTAACCAATATCACCAGTCTACAAGCAACTTATTATATAACAACAAGATTTTCTTTCACCATTAGTGACCAAGTTTGCTACATTTTACACTACAGCTTAATTTACACAACAAAATAAGTAGAAAATTACATTAAAGTAACACATAACTAGATTTTTATAGCTTTTAGATTGCAGTTTCAACAGCCAAAAACATGCAGATAAAATTATTTTGTTGGAAATGCAGAAAAAACTATATTCATTATTCATTTGTAGAATCTATACACCATGATAAATTATAATATACACATGACATTCTTAATTTTTTTTTACCTTGAAATGTATTAAACTAGTATCTATATTATACAGTTTCATAAGAACACTCATACCTGTAAACATATGTATTGCATATTTGTTTATTGATTGAAAATAAACTACATTTTCCCATTAACAGGAGGATGGGCAGTATAAGTTACAAAGTAATATTGAATTTCACTAAACTGAGTTTAAGTAAAGGAGTAAATAAACTGTGTGACACAATATAATTTTTATTATTATTTAGATCCAAGATAAAACCAAAGTGTGTGTGCATTTGTTTTCAGGACCATGGATGGTCACCTTTCACAAATTAACTGGTTGTATTCCTTTTAACCAACTCACATAAGATCAGGAACAAGAATGTTTACTTTACTATGATCTATTCTATAGTGACTAGCTCTATGTTTGTGACTGGTCATTCTTATTCAAACATAGGGGAGGCCATAACTTTAAGATATCACCTGATCTACCACTGGAGGACACTGGCTGTTTAAATTCTTGCACAGCATGCAGCATTATAGACATGCTCCTATGGGCAGAATGTGATCCTGCATCATTACAGGCCAGGCCCCAACCAGATGGTCAAGGTCCCACTGCTAGGAGTTGGAATTATAAGGCCGTGGTTCCTAGCTCCCACGTTGGTGGCTACGGCATTTGGATCACAATATATATATACATATGTATATTTGTGAGTGGATCCCAACCTATAGCTATAGAATGATTCATTCTGAGCCATCTGAATCACAATGAGAAGGTAAGCAACACTGAAGTGGACAAATCCTCTCCTCAACCCAAAGAAGTCCAAAAGGAAACAGTCCAAACTCCAAATAATGAGATCCTGCATGTCATACTCAACCTGAAGAAACAGAACTCATCCAGTCTGGAATTATGAACACTCATCTATTCTCCCCCACCATGTGGGCAAGGTAAATTCTATTTGCCCAAGGAAATATTGGGAGGATGGGGAACAAACTGTGCTCAATCAAGGACCTAGGATGGGACCACTCTGTGTTCGGAATTACGAGGAAACAATGGACCCTCTTCCATGAACAATGTACTAAAATGATATTGATCAAAAAAAAGGGATACACTCAATCCAACCAGATAGCGAAGCGTCATATCTGAACTGGTATTACGAGTATGCTCCCAAATATGCTAGGGCCTCTCCTACCAATACCTGGGAAAAAATATCCAGGGACCCAGGTAGGAGAGCCCCCAACTTTGCCCTCTTTTCCAAAAGTGGAGGAAAGTTACTCGACACTCTGGAGGAATGGCCTCTGTCCCCCACCCCAGCAACTGGAAACTAAGCATGGTAAGCACTCCCTAGTTCCACAAACAAATGGAGTCCCAGGGAACAATGCTCTGGAAATAGTGCAGTATGTGAACCAAGTTCCATAAATGTTTAAAAGCAAACTGACCCCAATTTATCCAATCCAATGATCAGCAGGGACAGGCAGGATCCACTTATGCTTTACTCATGAGAGTCCATGAGTGTCGGTCCAGTTCATTACAGTAATACTATCCGGACTGCCTCTAGATGGTCTTATGAAACACCCCATTTCTACAGAGCTTGTTGCAACCTAGATAAAACATGTTGGGTTGGTGGTTGCTAGTGCAGAATTGGTTTGCTAAAAGCACACCTGCCTAGGCAACACTCACCACAGAGTGGGATCCTGTGAAAAGAGGTAAGGGACCCTGGAAAATAAAGAAGAGACAATATTAGTAATGAAGATACTCACAGCTCCTTATAATCTAGCAGATGTAGTTACAATAGCTACTAGGAGTAGTCAAAAACCCTCAGAGGAATATACTCCCAGATCATGCAAATAATGTGAGATAAAAGTATTGGAGGAGGTACACATACCAGCCCATGCAATGTCCTCCAGAAAGCAATTCAATTGGGCCACTAAGAACATAGAAATGTGACAAATATGAAGAGACATGGCTTGCAGAATAATCCTCACCTCCAAAGAGAACTCAGAATAAGCGATATGGATCAGAAAACTGAAGGACTAAGCAAAGACCAAGACAGACACATGGCACCCTCAGAAGTTGAACCCTGAAGTCGTGCGAAGGACCACATAATCTCCATGCCTGAAGCTTGAACTTCAGGATGGCTGGTTGTATGATGTCAGACAGTGGCTGCCTCAACTGAGATGGCCAAAGAGGAAGTGGAAGATGTGGGCACTCCTGAGGTACCGCAGAAGCAGAAAACAGGTGTTAGCCACCAATCCGGTGCTATCAACAGGAGCCGACAATGGGTTGGAACAAATCAATGCTAGTACCTTGGATAACATATGAATCTGCGGGAAGGTCTAGAAGTGTAATCCCATCCCATCCTGACAAAATACATCTATTGCCCATGACTGACGGTGAGGTGTCAGAGACCAAAATGCCTGTAATTAGGTGTTCCAATGAGTGGCCAATACATTAATCATCAGCGTTTCAAAATGAGAGCCAATCCAACAGAAAACCTCACGATGCAGCATCCACTCAGTTGGGAGAATCCATTTGGGTTGAGACAATTGATCTGCCACTGAATTCATCACCCCCAGAATATGGCAAGCTAGTAAGGTGATATTATAGGAGTGGTCCAAAGAAAGAAGATCCAAGATTTGAAAACAAACAGCTCTGGACCAAGTACCTCCTTGATGGGAAATGTAAGACACCACTGTGGCATTGTCAAAGTGAAGCCTGATGATTTTCCCCTTAATAACTCCAGACCATAAGACATCCATCACCCTTTGAACAGCAAGAAGTTCTAAAAAAATTGTGTAAGAAAGCCTCATTGTATGTGCATAGGTCCTGGAATTCCTGACTGTTAAGATATGCACCCCATCCTTGAAGCGAGGCAGCTGTGATGAGATGGATCTCCGGAGGAGGTGGTGGCAGAGGAACACATATTGTGGTAGTGTTGCAATCTAACCACCAATCAAGATCAAAGATAATGATCCTGATGAAGGAAAACCGGAGATTCCAGTGCATCACTGTTCATGATCCATTGGTTGCATAAAAACCACTGAAGGGATCTCTTGTGTGCTCGTCCCAAAATAATGAGGAATTCAAATGATGCCCACATCCCCAAAAGAGAAAGAATGATAATGAAGCCTGCCTCAGTTGCTTCTGAAAGTAGAATCCGAGTGTGATGTTCCAGAAACTGGCGAGATGGTGTCAGCAGTAATCAGTTACCTATGGAATGGTGTGTGCATAGGCCTAGGAAAAGGAGGTGACAAGAAAAACTTGTACAATTCAACTGAAAACATGTGGTGCCAATGCTAATGTGGTGCTCCTGAGAGTCTTCTGACCAAAGTTGGAGGGATGATAAATATCTTAACACTGTATATAGGGTAAGACAAATCCTAGAAAGTTGTGATCTATTCAGTTGACTACAGACTCCATTCTAGAACCCCAAATTTCCAGTAGCAGGTGCATTCTTGACTCTAAATATGCATCCGCCTGGCAGTGGTAGGCTAAATCACATAGTTCCAACAACCGTGGGAGAAACAATATAGCTGTCCATGTAATTGAGCAGTAAATCTCCCTCCAAGAACCACAATATCAGTGGATGTAGGAAGAACTTAGTATTCACACCAAGACCTTTCAGCCATCAATAAAGGTGCAGACTCAAAAGCAACCAGGGAAAGACCCAAAACATAACACACTTGACAGACCAACAGAAGAAAAGAAACTGGAGGCGGTTGATCTGAAAGTGGCCTCCTGAGAAGCAAATAAAATATCATACCAAAACTATATGCAAAAACATACACATCACTTTAATTCACAAACCCTCAGTTACAAATGTATTAATACAGCAATATTATTAGGTTGTTTGTCTACAGTAGGAGCCCAGTAACTTTTAACTGCTAGCTATAGGAAGAATATGTAACACAATACAAATTATGAAGTTTTAAAGTGTTATATATATACATATATATTTAAGACCATTTTAGTGTGAGGCAGTGTTAGTGTTAACCATGCTTTCTTTATCATTTCATTTGTGGGTTATTCTATATGCTACACTGTAAAATACCAATGACTTAAATGTTAAAAACCATAAAGCACATGAACATGGATATGCAGAATTTTGAATATATTATGGATATAAAATATTTTGTTCAAAAATAAAATAACTTAAAATTTGAATAATTAATAAAGTTAGTATTTTAGGATTCATACAGTAATTTACAATGGTTTGCTTTAAAATAACCCACTTTTGATTTCATAGCATTTTTTTTTTTAAGGTTAACTTTCTCAAAATGACAAAATTGGATATATAGCACCTTGCATCTAAGCTTTATATATACATATACATAATTTGAATATGATTAATAACACTCACCTACATCCAACTTATCCATTTTGCACTGTAAACAAATCTACCACTAGGTAATAGACAAATAATATAACAAAAAGAGTTAATGTTTCAGTGTTTTATAACTTATGAATCAGACACCTTTAAAAACATATTTACATATTGTCATTTTACTAACTTTTAAAAAACATTGTGTCTATATAGAATATCTTTAGGCAATGTGTGCAAAATAACACATTTATTGTAGAAATTGTAATAAATAAAAATTACAGATTTAGGTTTACAAAAATTATAAAAACAATGGATTTTCAGAACAGCTGAATGATTTAATCTACTTCCTATAGGCAACCATTACATTGACAAGTGTCATGCAAACTAACAATTAATCAAAATTATGAGTAAACTGATTGTCATGAAAATAATCAATTAATCAAAATTGGGGTTGCCAATTAATATTGTTTTTCATTATTCCAACTATTCAGATAATTGCAATATTACCATTCTGTTTGTTGTAAAGCACAAAACTATACAATTAGCTATATATATGCTCAGCCTAATTTGGGTATCAAAGCCTGGCTTTTAACACAAATTTATTTAATTTTTCTTTTGCCATCTCATATGAATATAATCGATTAGTTAAACGAAACTGATTAATGAGATGGACAATTCATTGATTAGCAAATTCCAATAATCATACAGCTCTAATGAGAGGGTTAATATATTACTTGCAGAGAAACTGCTATATTACACATACATGCATCTAGCAGATAATTCTAGCATTCATAATTGTTTTCTTTACTTAGACTTTCCTCTAGTTATTTCAAGGTTATTTTTTAGTTCTGGTCTACATAGTTAGTTTAATTTTGATCATAAATTACTTAAAATAACATTATTATTATTTAAAGATATTACTTTGGACACAGAATAATCCATTTATGTAAATAGTTTGCATAATTAACTTCATAAGCAGATGAACTACATCGATAAATGACCCATTCTTAGACATTTTTGTTTTCTTTTAGCACACATAACTTACTTGTTTTACCACATATCAGCAAGTGTCTACACTTTCTATTAATTGCCATATTAGTACACTACAGATCACAGGAGCTGATTAGCATAAAAATCACATTCAATGTGTTACATCACTTGCCTGTAAGTCAAAGTTAGTGATGAACAATAAAAAAGGTGAAAGTGTTAGAACTTGTACTTTTAGAAGATTTCTCTTAAATTAGTTTTCAGTTCTAAAAATTTATGATTGAGAGTAAAGAAAAATGTATAACAATATATTAACCACATTATATCTGCTACATCCATTGTTGATGAGACCTTCTGCCCAGTACCAGGGCTTATCACATTGGCTGAGATACCACACACAGTAGTGGCTGGGGTGCTATTTATATTATCAAATTACATAAACAAAAACTGTAAGAAGTACTAAATTTAAAAATTTTACAATTAAATTTTATGTTATATTACATATGGAAGAGAACTTCTTTTTTCTAACAAATACAAGAGTGAAACATTTGTTTGATGTTTTTCCCATTTTCGTACTTCAGATCTCTTGCTCAATATTGCATTATTTTGAGATGGTCAATCCCACTATCCATTGGTAAAAAGAGTGGTTCAAGAGTTAGTGGTGGATGGTGTTGAATTCCCTTTAGTATATCACTGCTAAGTTACAGATGGTCACCACAACTAGCTGTTGAGTAGCTTTGTGTGAAATTCAAAGTAAACCGAACCTCAATATCACTGCTACAGTTTTGATTATAATTTATACTTAGTTCTTAACTCTTTTGAAAAGTTCATGTTTATATTTCAGTTTGTGCAGTACTGTTTCTAAATACATATTACAATGTTATTGTTAATGTTATTTGTGAATAAAACATTTTTATCTTAAAGTTGAAAGCTCAAATTATTTGCCATCTAATGTATTGACTATTGCCTTGGTAACTCTCGTACAAAAAGGTATAACGACTACCGTATAAGCACACGATGTGATAACTAAAAATAAAATTGCCTTTCATACAAAAAGAAAAGTTTACCTGAACAATTAATGGTCTGTCTTCTTCACAAGAAATTATGTTTTCTCGCCTGTATCTAGCATCTTTGACAAACACCGATGCATGCAACATGGGCGTATAGCAGAGTTCAGCACCGTATTTTCGACTGAGAAGTCGCCACGCCAATTCACTCTGGTCCACCATTGGGGCAACAATGTACTTGGCACAGTTAAGCTTTTTCTTCCATAAATCATATCCATTCAACGTTGGAGGCATTTTGAGATTCTGCTTTATAATAACTCAAAAATAATGTTAAAATAAAAGCATAACCTCAATGCCTCGTAATCGGCCATACACGTAGCCTACATTTGTTCGTAATTTTAAGTTTAGGGCACGTGTACTGTTTTCGACATCTTTTGGTTAGATTCCTATTTATTGAGATCACTTTTTAAAAATAAAACGTTCATTTTATATAAAAGTTTGAAAATAAGTATTTAAAATATAAATTATATACACTAAAATTAGTATATATAAAATAAAAACGTAAATGTTTAATTTAAATCAGGAGTATTGTTAAATCTTCTTTCTTATTTTTTCACATATTGTAGTTTAAATTTTTTTTGCATTCATTATTTGTTTTAAAAGTTTCGCGCCAAGCTACACAAGGGCTATTTCGTAAATGTTCCTAATTCTAAACCGATAGACAGGACCACAGAAAGGGCAAGAAGGCTGGAGAAATTTCTCCGGGGCACAGTGTCCTGAAAGGAGTCTTGGAGAAAGCAGGGTGAAACTAATTGACAGAGGAGAGTACAACATACCAATCCTTCCCCAGAGCCCATGAAAGCTCTTGGAACCTTGATATAATAGCTTAGAGAGAAGAAAAAGACACAGTTATCAACAGCACCAATTACAAACTCGTGGGCTAATGTCGTTTGGTTAAACAGTGAGATTTGTTCGTCACCCTCATACTTATAGCGCATCCTGCGCCAAAGTGCAGAGCGTCTCATCCACTTTATACTTCTGCACTTTATTTTGTGCATTTAAAATGTCATCTCTGTTACGTACTGAAAATTTCAATTGCAAAATAATACATGTATATCTATAGTTCCTTTTCTTTTTCATCAGTATTTGAATAGTACTGTTGCGTCAGCGAGGTCACGTGACTCGTTCTCTCGAACCTTTGGGAATTGTCGAGAGATTACTAGATATAGAGTAGTTTGGTATATATATATAAGAGGGTGACAACGTGACGGAAAAAAAAATGTGTGTGTAGGTAGTGAGTAATTGATCTGCAGTGAGAAAGTATCGTTGAAGTTAACGTTCGTTATAGCGTTTGTTTTAGCGTGATTGTTGAAATCAAGTGTATCGCGAAGTTATATTCAGGAAGAATAAACCAGTTTTATTAAGTAAGGACTTGTGTCGCTAAAGTTTCGTCGGAACGAAGTTACGGAAAGTTAATTAACAAACGGAGACGTAACAAATTGGTGTCAGAAGTGGGATGAAAAAAAAATGGAAACGAGAAGCGCCAAACCAAACTACAGTTTAGCAGATTTGATGGCAGCAATATAAGAACAGCAAAAGAAACAAGAAGAGAGACAACAGCAGTTACAAGAAAACCTGCAACAATGGCAGCTCGAACAACAAAAGAAAAAAGAA